GAAGAGGCGCTGACATCAAAGCCGGATGGTCTTCCAGGAGAGGGAGAGGCGACCAGAACAGCAACGCTGGGTGGCACACGGGCTTTAAACTTCAACCTTGTATGAAACCCAGGGCTAAATCATTAACTGTTGGACAAATAAGCAAATATTACCTCCTTCCCAAGGTGCAACAATTTGTTATTAGGACAATTCCACCAGTGTCCCCCCAGTTTTATTTGCTCAAGAGATCAGTTACTTTTTTCACCATTTATCTTCCTTTTCTTTTGTAGTAGCACAGAATTGCGGACATCGTTCCTGGGGCCACCGGTGCCGCTGAAGCCAAATGCTGGATCCCCAACAACACCAATGGGATCCATTTGCAAGCCCCTTACTGACATCTTTTACTGAAATATAAAAGTGTTTCTTCAGAAGAAACTAAAAGGAAGGGCATGGTAAGAATACAGTGTTCAAAGAATACCCACGCCTTAGGTTGCAAGTTTCCAGTAAGATACAAAACCACGTTTGGTGCAAACAGCCCAGCGCCGAGACACGTCAAGGTTTTGCAGGGAGAGCTAACTGAGGAAGTAAAGAAAACGGAGAGGCAGGAAGAAAGGGGGCTGACACACACTGTACATCCAGCACCACTTCAGTGCTGCCTTTGGCAGCAAACACAGCTTCTCTTATCAGCAAAGATACCTTTGAAATGGCTGGCAAGCTTCCATCTAGCACTCAAACAAATAAGACCCTCCACATTGTAACACCGCCCTCGAGAGGGATCTCTTCATCATAAGAGACAAACAGAAAAACTGCATGAGACAAAGCCACAGACCATGCAGGCTTCCCATGACACCGCAAATCCAAACACCGCAAACATAAATCCTCTGAAAACCTGTGTGCAATGCAGGTACCACCGCTGGCATTTCAGAAGTTCACCGATTTCAAGACAGACCCATCCAAGCTTGACCGTCAGCACTGCTGTGCACTTCGTATAACTGGTCCGAGGGGTCCAAGAGTGAACACACGAGAATCTGCCTCAGCCTGAGGATTCGCCACCGCAGTCGCTGGAAGAGACAAACCCCACATCGCCACCGCTACTGATGCTCTCCCGGATAGAGAGAGCCCGGGTTTGCCCACCTCTGGCTCTGTGCTGCTCCAGCTGCAACACAGCTGGCTCCCACCCTGCTTCCCTCTGCATCTCTGCCGCCCCGAGGATGTGCTTCCTTCCCACCACAGACTTTATCACACCCGTCCAGGCCCTCCGCAGATTACAGCTGCACACTGTACTTAGATCTCTCATTTGAAAAAGCTCACCACTTCAGACAGTGCGAGATACAGCAACTCAAGAGTTTAACAACAAAAGGGACCTTAAGTACACCCTTTGTAGCCTGTCTGTCCCTCCTAGCTCGCCTGCTCAATCCCAGCATGATACCAAGCACTGATTCGAGAAAGCCCTAAATTATAAATGGCCCAAGAAAAGTATCTCATGCCTCAGGATTTTATTTCAACTGCCCTCAGCAAATGAGCATCTCTATATTGCTATCCTGTCCATACCTCATAGCATTATTTACAACCCAGTGAATAGTTCCCAAATGTAGTTACTAGAGCACCTGCAATCAGCCAGTCACGTGTAACTTTTTTAGAAAGTTTGTTCCAAACAGAAGTGTAAATACACTGTTCCTCAGACTTTCAAATAACAAAGTGTCCTTGTTTTTAACATAAGATTCCCCGTGCAGCATGAGACAAGGACAGAGAGCTCCCAAACCAGCACTAAGACTGGCAGCGCAATTCCAACAGCTACAATTTCCATTGGAAAACAGTAAAAACAAAGCTCTTGTGTTAAGTCAAACCTGAGTGCCCTAACAGCATCACAGCTAAGGCTCTTCCTCCTGCAGGCTGCATTTCATGAAACCGCAGTGCATTTTAGCTTGACTATCCTGCATGCGTTAGACCAGAGAGGAGATAGGGCGGAATCAGGGAACGAGCTGGAATGACCGCAGCGCACAAGAGGGGCAGGAAACTCAGGTCTCCAAAGTCATACAGCCAGTTCTTTCACTGACGTAGCCCGGCTAATTAGATCTGTGGAGAAGCTACACAATTTGATGAGATGTAGCACCACACTCATTCAGCTATGTCATTCTGAGCTCGTTCACATTGGGTTTTTGATTGGGACCTCCAAATTTGCCTTCCACAGCTTCATGGCAAGTTTTGCAGCATGGCACAGTAGCATTATTTTCCATGTAGCTCCTGCATAAACTACATCTGTTTCAAGATTCCTAAAAAGCACTCTGTTTTCTGAGCTGTCACATACTATGGTAGCTCTTCTCCATTAAAAAATGGGAAGGGATGTCTCAAAAGTTTCAAAAAGGATGGGAGAAGCCAAGGGGGAGAGGGAGGAGAACATTCTCTTAGATTTTCTCATCAAAAGGACTGATTTCCCTCTGGGTTAGCATGGTTTTAACTTCTGGTTAGAGGCACAAAAATGTATGCCACTCCTAAATATCTTGCCAAGTCACCTAATTATTCCCCTTCAATACCTACAGATACTGACCAGAAAGGTGTCCTGGTTTTGCCAGTGACTTGCTCAGCAACCCTGCACAGGTGACTACATCCACTGGTCCCTGTTATTTCATCCAGGAAAAGGCACCATTTGTCTGCTTATGGTCCAGCGATATGCTGAAGATTGTACTGCTCTTGGGATATACTGAGTACTAGAAGGATGCTACATAGGGGTTTTATAAAGGGATAGCATTTTTTTAAATCCATGGAATATAAATCTGATTTGCAATATTTTAACCACACACCACATCTGGTTTTTAACCCACAGTAGTTTTTGTTCCAATTCACGCTGCTTCTTGCAGCTCAGGAAGGCAAGAGATTCTAGTGAAAAAGCACAAGTAGCAGCAGATCCAAGTTCAGCCAAAATTCTCTATTTAACAGTTGCTATCTTATTCAACTATGTGACACTCTGGATAAGACAGGACGCAACTTTTGTTTTTAAGCACCCAGCACGAGTGGAATAGTAATCTAATACCTGCTTTGGCCTTCAGCCCATTTGGTATGCCTGGCAAACAGGCAGACTACAAGTAGTTGGAATTTAGTAACAAGTGCCTTTTGTTTGCACAAATTAACATGGAGTTTGCGTTTGGTCTGTGAGAAAGAAACCAGAGGGGTATTTTGTGGTTGGTCAGTTACGTGTTTGTTTTTATTCAAGTCCTATTGCCCAAAATAAAACAAAACGGGGCACAAACATGCTTATACAAGGAGCTGTAAATTAAGATGCTAGCTTCCAGCCAAACTGGCATAATATCAATTTCCATGCACTTCTTCGCCGAGGCATTTTCTCAGCCACCTTCCTCAAGCACAGCCCTTGTTGAAATTCAGTGGGGAGATTACTTATCCTTTGGAAGGATTAGAGGAATTGAAGAGTAACTGCCATTCAATAATCCCGTGTAAGTATCTAATCGACCATAATGTAATTACCAGAAAGTTTTAAAAGGTCAAAAAGGCCTTAGTGTGACGTTACTTGAAAAAGAGAAGGCTCTTCCTCTGCTTGGGCAACGTCTCAAAAAATGAAGTAAAAGAGAAGCCGAATGTAACACCTGAATATGTTTTTCATACTCCGTTGCTATCCATTAAAAAGTCAAGAAATACACAGAGGACAAGGAACACAACAGGGCACTTGTACTTATTTTCATTCTCCTATAGAAATCAGTTGCCAACACACACAAATACCTGCTGTAAAAGAGCAAACGCATCCTGCTCTCCAGGTAACACACAACAAGATGCTGCTCCTTCAAGTGCATCCTGACATGAAATACCACGCACAATATTGAGCATTGTTCACTTTCCAGCAGTCTAAACCGACTGCATTATACAGACTCTCTTTACCAGTTAAAGCAATACCGAGATGTTAAGCAGTATGTGAAAACTCTTTCCTCAAGACATTTCAAAAGACTGTCAAGACCAGAGTTGAAAAGCCAACAAGGCCTCCAATTACTGCCGACTGCACCTAAACAGATTTTATTTTTAGTCACATACTACTAACATAATGCTCTTTTGGTGTAACAACTGACACCACTAAAGGCAAAAAGACAGACATGAAAGTACGCTAGGAGTATTTTATCAAAAATGTTCCTCTTCCATTTCTCTCTCGGAGGTAATGTGATTTAGGATGAGTCTCCACAAAAGTATTTCTTAGAAAGCTCGAGTCCTTCTGCAACCCCCTTCTCCAGGCCTTGCAATAGTAGAAATAACTCTCCGAGATCATGAAACACTGCAAGGGGGTGGGGGAAGAGAAATTGCTTCCAAAGTTAGACCTGCAACGTTTTTAACATGTTAACTAGCAGATGTTACAGCAATTGACAAATCTCCGAAGAGACTTGGCATTACCATTTAATAGGAGTTTCAAAGCTTCCATATCATGTTTCTTCAACTGGAAGAACAGATTCTTAATAGAAAAATACCCTCCCACACTGTCCCACCTTTTTTTCCAGGTGGAAATCAAGGGGAGAGAAAGGGGACAAGGGTAACAAATGAGACCTCAGCTGCATTTTCTCCTTTTTCCAGAGAAGGACAATACTTCCTTTTGTTATCTAGCATGGTAGGAATTCTCCCTAATTTTTCTTTTAACTGTGGTTTCTCCTCTGTGGCAGATACAAATTTTTTTTTGAGAGAGAGCGCTGTTCCTGACTATATTCAGAGTTGAAGATCTGGAGGGTTTCTGCTTATTTAATAGAAGTTTCAAAATGCATACAAAACTGTGAGCAGGTTAAGAGAAAAAAACATGGCCTGAATTTAGACTAACAAATCTCAACTGACCACTTTTTGGAAAATCCTAAAATACTAGAAGAAGAAAATTACTGAAGAAATCAAAAGTAAGTCAAGCACAGTTATCCACAAAGAGGAAAAAGCCCCACGTGTTAGGCACAGTCAACAATAAATTGATCCACCAGAAGTAATACCTAAAACTTTGTATTTCAGAAGGGCCAAACAAAAACGCATGTGTTGTAGCACTCAGTTACCTTCTTGAACAGGCGCCCCGAATCTTCGCTGACCTGGACAAAGCGCGGGATGATGTTGTTGAGATAGATGTCACTTAGAGTGGTGTGATCCCTGCTCTCCCGCTTCACCTGATTTAGCAGGAGATTCCAGCAATTGACTGGTGATAGCACATTCTGATCCTTCCTACAAAGGACACAAAATAGAAACAAGAATTGGATAGGACTTTACCTGAAATGGACAAAATGATTCTGTTCATGACATTCTATATCTACAAATGCTAGAAACTCAGCTACAGGACATATGGATTTGCTGAGGGAGAGGAGAGCAGAGGAAGGCTATAAAATGGCTAAAGCACATACAGAAAATATGCCCTCAATTACAGACAACTACATTCACGTGGCCATGGGCTTTTGTCCCCCAACAAACAGATCAGGCAAATGCAAGCTACAGTATGCCAAATGTAGGCTCTAATTTTTTCTTTTGAATCCCAGATTTTGTGCATAAATTACAGTGCCTGAGGGAAAGCGATGGCTCCAGTGTCTGACAATAGGTTTCACAGCGCCGTCTCAGGCATTTGTGACTTAACCACAACAAAAAGATTTCAAGCACCCAGTTAGCTAAACAGCATCTCCATAGGAAACAAAATTTTATGTTTCATGTACAAGAACAATTATGTGCAAGCATCTATATCTGTCCTGAGCAAAACAGAAAGCAACATTCATGCAAGCTTTATTTTCTCATCTTTGAACTTTCTCCACCTTATTATGGCTGATTCACTCTGCACCCAGCAAATAAGCAATACAAAGGGCAAAAGGGGAGATGAGAGGAACCTCAGATTATTTGGATCAACATTTCATCCACTAAAAGGAGCAACTCATTTCTTAAGGCACCATTTCATACTAGATGAAAGCAAGGACGTTAGCATCGATTTTGCACGGTCCTCCAGCAGCCCCGCAGCCGTGTTTGGAACTGGCAGATCTAGGTGTAGTCTTAACTACATCATTTACTTCTCTCTTTTTACTTCTGTTCATCATTTGTTTACAGTACAATAATATTTATTTAGAAAAGAGCAAGTCAGATCCCTGGTGGAAAGCCAAAGCTCTTCTTGATTATTGTACCCGACTGTATCAGATTTTTTTTTTTTTCCTCTTAAAAGAAAGGAGGTTCAATTTCCATTGAAAAAGGGAATATTCTGCACTTAAAAGGACAGCAATCTCTGCTGCAAGAGATGTCTGACATTGTGAAAATGTGAAAATTAAGCCATGGTAGACTTTCATTACCCTTCTCATGACATCAACGGTTGGATTTGTAGTGCAATATGGATAATTTTAGATAAGGAATAACAGTTTGAGAACAGTTGATCTTGATGCTTTATTTCTTTTCCTTAAAAAAATGAAAAGCTCAGGAAATGACTGCAGCTTCTGATCTGGACTGCTTCAAGGTTTGGAGCGTGTGTACGTGTATAGTGGGAGAGGGTAGAAAAAAGGATTCTGGGCTTCTGGTTCTCCTGGTGTTTTGAGTAAAAAAAAAAAATAAAAAAATAAAACGTGAGAAGGCATAGATTTTACTTAGAGACAACATTTTCCTTCGTACTCTAGTGTTCTGTACTGCAGATACTGCTGATGCGCAAAACCAGATGGAATGATCAAAATGCATAACTGTACAAGGTTGAAACTGCCAGATGTTAAGCTATAGAAATCAAATAGTTGCCCCTTCATCTGCAGTTGGTGTTTGCAGCACACCGTTTGTTTTGTTAATATGCCAGAGAGCTAATTAGTAACTGTGAGACCCAGCTAACAGAATTGTGAATTGACGGGTAGTGACCAGGCTGCAGCCAGCCCTCAACAGGTACACGTGCAGGTAAGGAGCCGTACGCTCTGACTCCCGCGGAAACAGAGAGAAAAGCTGCCACCAGAAGGGAAGGTCATATATGCATTAAGGTTTTTTTTATTTAGGTGAGACAAGAAACAACACCCAGCTTTCTTCCACTGAAGAGAGGGCAGGAGGAAGAAAGGCATCTCCAGAAAGAGCTCATCCAAGCAGCAGTGCTGGGTTGGAAGTGTACAAAGCCATCTGGAGAGCCACCATCTCCACCAACAAACTGTGGTTCAGGCAGAAGACGGGAAGCAAACTAAGTAAGATCCTATCGTGGATGGTTGTAAAGAGAAGTTTATGAAGGACAGTATTAAACGATGTCAAAAGTTGGTTGGTTTGCTCCTTTACACTAATGATAGAAAAGTACGTTACACATTGACTTAATATGTAACCTCTAAAGGTGGAAGAGCTACAGCAAGTGAAAATTAATCAACTACCATAAAAAGATTGGGAATGAGGAACAGAAAGCTCAGACTCTCCACCAGCTGTTCTAGCATCACTTGTTCTAGCTGTTCAAAATCCTGCCTCAAAACCCTTAAGAGCCTGTTGCTGCTTCATCACTCTGCTGCTTCACTCTTCTCCTCAGACCAGCGCAGCCGCAGACCTGCTCTGAGCAGCCCGAAGAAATCCAGCTGCACGCAGCCTGCTAACTCGCCTTCTCAGGCTTTGTACCGCTCATCCCCACGAACTGCCAACCCAAGGGACTCAGCTGTTCTGGTCCTTAATACCTCCCATCGCATTCTGCATCTCGTTATGAATTTTTGCTGTCTACTCCACGAAGAGCACCTGCCTGTCCATGGATGCCCCCACTGAGGTATCGGTCCAAGCCCACCTTGAGCAGCCTGTGAGCAACAAGGACCAAGGGCTAAGACTAGAGACAAGAATATAGAGAGCAGCACGGTACGAGTGCCTTGCTTTCCAAACGGGAACCAGAAGAGATGCAATAGTTCACTGGACAATTCCCAGCTGTCCGGGCTGCCCTACCACAACACCCGAAGCTATTCTAAGGCAGCACATAGCACGAATACCAAGAGCCCATGGAAAGCATGGTGAGTAAAATTGCTGGTGTCTAATGGCGCCAGATGGGTTGTTGACACACTCCGTGTGGTTAGACATGAAAGGCCATCCTGCAGGAAAAAATAATCACAACCCCACATGCTTTCAATCCGCGACCGGGATTGTCACCTTGGGGTCTGCACAGTGAGCGCCGCACCCCGAGCTCAACCTCATGCAACCACAGCTCTGCGCGCCTCGAGATTTTTCATATAAATTCCTTTAATTTCTTGGTGTCTGTTGGTTTCACTAACCCCTTCAGTACCTTGTTAAAATGCTTTCGTACAGGTTCAATGTCTTCACGGCAAGGTTTTTACAGGAAGCGAGACAAAAAAAACCAAAACCCAACCCTCTCCTTCATTATTTGCTAGTGACAATTTTCCTAGCACTGGCAAAAAGCAGATAAAGGCATGTCTTAAGACAGAAATGAAACAGTAAAGGAAAGAGGCAGCTACTCGCTTCAAACCTTCCAAGTAGCCTTTAAAACTACACACGCATTAACTGCTAAAGCACCTCTTAAAACGCAGCACTTTCTGGGGTGGAACATGGCAACAGTTTTCACAACACAGAGCAGAAGTTATACAACTGTTTACAACAGACCCTTTTCTATCATAACCACAAGCAGATGGCAGAGAAGCAAATTGCGATTTTCATTAACCATTTCAATTCTTAAAAGAGCTGGCAAATACACTCTGCTTCCAGTTTCGCGTCACCATAGAGGAGGGATGAAAAAGGGAAGAAAAATATGTAATAGGGACCACTGGGTATAATCGAGAGCGAGCTCGATTTCCACAGATCCTGCAGAATGACTGGAGTGAGTATCTGTCCTTAAGAAGTAAAATTGATGAGATCAACCCAAAACTTTAGTACCTGGATATGAACTGTCCCAAAGTGTTGGCAATTTCACATTCACAACCACCATTTGACTCAGAATTCCCCCACAAGGAGAGGAGGAGGAAGAGGAAGAGGAGAAAGATGCCAAGATCCAGGTTTATTTCAAGCACTATTTATACTCATTTGAAGATCGTGTGATGATAGTGAATCTGGAGAGTTTATTTAGGTTAGCCTAAATTACACCAGATCACAGCAATCGGGGGTGTTTGGGAGCAGGAAGAGGAAGCTGTGCACAGATTTTTAAGGAACCACAAAGTATGAAGCTCTGCGGTTTCTCGGGTGTTATCTCGATCAGGTCCTGTGCAACTTCCACTTCAAAGGTTTCAGCCCGTCTCAAAAGATCAGAAGGGAAGATTGAGTCCCAAGTATCTGAAAGGTCTTAATTAAATTACTCATTCATACAAGGAACTCACAGACAATCCAAGATTTACGTGCTTTAAGGTAAACAGGAAAGAGCGACAAAGGCCAGCAACACTTAGTTGGGCATTGCAAGGTAACCCCGTTCACAGCAACAGCAGAAAAATTATCTTAAAAAACAACCTCCTCCCCCCGACACACTAGATTAAAAACAAAACCAAACAACCCACACCCACAAAGCAGGAATAGGAATATTGGGTTTCCATAAGGAGTGCAAGACAAAGGAATGAGTCAGATGAGTATGAAAATATTACTAAATGGAAAGTGAGAAACATTTAAATCAACATAAGCAGGCCACATCATCCGTGTGAACAGAAAACTTCTTCGATCATCCTTCCTTCGAACCGAGGCTTTTAAAGCAAGTCTCCTGGTGGTACATGCAAAAACTGAAGTTTCCTGTTCTACATCTCTGCCCCTCCAAATATTCGGGATTTTGGGATCTGTTTCCCAGGGGCCTGCAACAGACATTTTCAGACCTGGCACATCCCAGAACAGCCATCAAGATCCTGGGAACCGAGAAACCGATGTATCTCCCGCTCTGCGGAGCAGCCTGCCCGCACGACCTGTCCCATCTCAGCAGTGACCGGCGGGCTCAGGTCTGAGCTCCACAGGGTGCACGCTCCGCAGCATGGACCCCATGCCCAGCTCACCTAACGACCTGCTGGAATTAGATAGGAGGTGAAGGGAGAGATGAAAGAAGTTATTCTCAGATCTGTGAAATTGTTAAGTCCACCTTACAAACTATCAGAGCTAGACCAAGTGTTAGAGCAGAGATGTAACTGTTTCTGCATAAACTTTCTCAAACCTGCCTGAACTTTGTCCTCTGCAGCGTGTTCCCTAAGAGTAGCTACAATCATAGCAACCAATGCAGTGCCATACTGGGATCGCTGATACGATGAAAAACACCACAAAGATCCTCCCTGGGGTTTTACATCAATTTTCGCTGGTCATGTATCCCTAGCTCTCTGGGTTCAATGAGGTCGCTGAATAAATGAATGCTTCATGTTCAGAAAAATCTTCCAAATGTTGTTATTGGAAAGACTCATAAAAAAAATGTTCAGGACTCAGCTCCATCAAAAAGATTCACAGGTCAACATAGCCTATGACAATATTTATCAATTACAATAATAACAACAACAACAACAACAACAAGATAACTGAAGTCCACAAGACCCAAATGCTTTTGTCAATACCTCCCTCACAGCCTGTTTCATCTTTCCTTTAAAGAAATCATTTAAGAAAACTAAAGTTGAAAATCTTTGCAAGCTGCTCATTCAAATCAACATCTGATTTCCCCTTAAAGTCTTCCTGACACAGCTCAGTGTTAACTGTAAATTTTGAGAATTACAAGCCCGGACATACATACTGCTCCCTGCCCTTCTCTTCCAAAAGATTCCAGTTATGAACATCTGTTGTTTACAAGTGCTCAGCCTGAAGGTTGCCAGACTTATTCTGCATCTTCTACTTCAAGGCAAAGGCTGCCAGAAAGCCATCTGAATTTCATGCTGGGATATCCTGGACATTCAGCTCTCCAGCTGACAATTGCTACTCAGTATCCTACTTCCAAAGATTATCTTGATTTAAAATATGGCTTTAAAATAGCAGTGTCTTTCTTTTTTTTTTCCCCTCGCCCCCCCCCTTTTTTTTTTTTTCATTTTCTCCCTTGAGAGGAATAAATCAAGGTTTGCTACTGGTTTTCTATTGTTAACTGATTATTTGAATAGGCAAATGCCTTTAGGACAAAAATCACATGAAATAGGAGCAGCGAAGTCTGGAGTTAGAAGTCAAATGGTTTCGCTGCAGTGGGAGAGAGCCTTCCTCTGAGGATGCAAGTCAGACCCGCACCCAGCGCTGCTGCCCGCAGGGACCCCCCAGACCCACCAGGCAAGACGGATACCTCCCGAGATGCATACTCTGATTTAACTGCTACACAAGACAGGTTTAGTTAGGCAGATCTTTAAGGAGCGATGACTATACCAAACTCATCACCAACAAGCTCTTATAACAACTGGAGCTATAAGACCTGGGCTATGAAATGCAATTTTTTTTGCCTCCGGTCCTTACATCTTGTGCAAGGATATTTACCAACAGATACTGAAGAAGCCTCACCAAATATATACATTTTATATGACTATTCTCTTTAACAGTCTGTTCTAATTGAAAAAAATAATTTTAAAAGAGAATAGGCAAAGTGAGGTCTAATAGCCATAGCAGAGTAGTTAAAAGCAAGTAAAACCTGGGATATATCCAACTGTCATCAGCTCATATCTCACCTTGGCTAAACCAATCTGTTCCCCTTCTTTGAAGATATGAAATGAGAGTAACATACACCTACCTCTGTAAATCATTTTAAGATGCTCCAGTGAAGCTAGCTTCAAACTGTGCAATGTGCAAGCACCCTTTAAGTCCATCACCAGTTATACACAGTTCACTGTCAAGACCCAACCACCTACATTTCAAACCCCATAAGGAAAACGTAGCCACCTGATCAGCTCACCCTCTGATGAAGCCACATCTAAGAAAAATAAACCCCATGCAATGCATTTGTTAGAAACCCAACACAAGCCCGCACTTCACATTGCGCTTTCCTTTAATCGTGTGCTTTTACCAGCTTGGAGATGGATGGTGGAGGAAGCCACACAATCCAATTTCAAGGGTCAGACCGAAGCCTCCTGCCCTTGACAGCGTTCCCTTAAATGAACACATTCGGAACAACTCGGCAATTACCTAATAGCTGTTGAGTATGAAAGCACATGCAAATTATAGGGTTACTCCCTGACAGATTTCCTCCCTGACAGTGTGTTATGAGATCTAAAAACGGCAAGTGACATGGTAAGCAGTCACTGAATGATATGGTACCTTCCGACATAATTACCATGTTATCGAAAGAACATGCTATTACTGTATATTTATAGGGTCACAGTCAGGCAATTACAGAGTAGCCACCCGCCTGTGCACATCTCGCAGTCTTGTAATACCAGGCTCCTTCGGAGGAGAGATCTGATGGTTGGCTTTGATCAAATGGTCTTCTGGGGGCTTCCAAACGAGACTACAGCTTCAGCATCGACAGAAAAGAAAGCGGCCAAGTTACCCTTCACTATCCAGACAGAGCAGTGTTGGGGATAGCTAATTATAATCGGAATTGCTTCCTTACTGATCCCTGTGGTATTCTGACACACTTCTGAATGTTACAGCCGGCAGACACAGATGAACGAACAAGTAACAGACGGAGCTACCCAGGACAGACAGCTTTACAACCATGTGCCACTGCTGCGACAAATACTGCCCGCAGCCCCAGCAGCCTTATAGTTAAGAGCTACTATTTTTCCCTTATTCCAACTCTTGACCAAATTAACAACTGGTACATTTGGGACTCAAACCTTGCAGGGGTAACATAATCCAAGAGCAAGATGCTTTTCTGCCAGGAGCCCTCAGCTGCTAATGCGAGGGGCATCAGGAGCCTGAGCAGCGTCAGCACAGGGAAGGGAAACCGCTGCTCGGTAATGGGTTTCAGGGTAATTCGGGCAAGGCCCTGGACTTGACCAGGAAAGCATGGACATTTAATTCAGAAATTCAAGGGAAAGTTTTATGTGCTGATAAAATTCAGGCTACACTCAATAGCTAGGATATTTGAGGTCAATTTTGTCCAGGTATAACTTTATAAAGCCTGTCTAGAGTGCAAAGAGCTCAAAAACTGGGGGCAGGGGGTCAGTGAGGAAAATGCATTAGAACGAACAAACAAAAAATTTTTAAAACCTGCAGTATCACAGCCAGTATATTTAATTCACATGAAGCATGACACCATCTAGGATTCTGTTCAACTACGGTAAAAACTTCCACATTAAAAATTCACTCTAAATCTCAAAATAGGAAGTAAGCTATATACAACTTTCCCAACACTGAAAGCTGAATACAAAAGCATTTCTGAAGGGATGTTTCATATCACGTAATATAAAGGAAATCATCTGAATTTTCACCAGGAATAACAGCAAAATAAACTGAAAAAGACCAATCACAATGCAGAGGAAAATTATAGTTCGAGACATCATTTCTTTAGTGACATCTTAAAGGCACGTGCAGAACATGTTCAGCTCGTAACCGTAAGACCACTTTCACTATAAAGGAAAAGGAAAAAAAACCCATACTTAACACAATTACAGCTCTATAGATACGCAGAACAACTCTTCTTCAACCTGTCAAACAGCTTTAGTGACACCTTAAAGGCATGTGCAGAACATGTTCAGCTCGTAGCTGTAAGACCACTTTCACTATAAAGGAAAAGAAAAAAACCCCATACTTAACACAATTACAGCTCTATAGATACGCAGAACAACTCTTCTTCAACCTGTCAAACAGCTATGCTTGGGAGTCACGCTTTCCTGACAATGTAGCGCAATGTGCGTTTTAAATGAGAACTAAAGCAAATGACATCAAAGCTGTACAGAAAGGGAACTAAAACGGTGCCTACTTAATGGCTTTCACAAAAAGAGCTTCTAGTGGAAATGGAAAGCTGATATATCCCCATATCCCTCCAAACACAGCAACAACAAAAAAACAAACACACAGATAATGGCCCGACCCAAACGATGCTAAAAGTGACATTGCACTTTGGGTGGAGGCAGACCCAGATGGAACCTCTCAGACCAATCTGTCCAAAGCAGAAATGATTCAGATCCCAAGGCTCCTTTTGCTCGGTGTTTCCCCCAGCTGCTTCCCTGACGACAAAACCCAACAAGCATGTGCATCGCCAAGATGTCAGGCTCAGGAGTCCCATGGCTGTGGCTTTGTGCTGGCCACCTAGCCCCTGGGCTGATGTCTCCATGCCATGCAGCCCGCACCAGCCCCTTCTTCACCCACAGGTCCTCTCCTGCATCCCCCTTCCTGGGAAAAGGACTCGTGTTCCTTCCTCCAGGCAGGAGTCAGTAGTAAATCAGAAGGCTTTGAATCCATGAAACCACATTTGAAACACGTTAGCCATCCCAACTCAAACAGCCAAGTGGGGAACAACCAAAGCAGTACGGTCAGACCTACCTGTAAATAATGTTTCAAGCAGGTGAGACAATTGATTGTCAATAAGGACATCTTTAAATTTTAATTGAGTTCCATCAGCTTAGTACCTAGGGATTCCCCCCCACAAATGGCACAGGTCTATTTGAAAGTACTGTTGGCCTTATTTCTCTACTGTTTTGAAGTGATAGTAGCAGAGACATAACACTCTTAAATCCTACACTGAGTATGCGTAGGATATTGAAAATAGAGAGCTGCAATGGCAAAACACAGCATATAACAGATTAGAAACAGTTACACTTAAAAAAAAAAAAAACCAGACTAAAGCCACTGGCATGGAAGGAAATCCTGGCTTTGTCCATCAAATCTGGTGTACAGCTTTGCTCATCTTCCCAAGAAAATTACTTCTTTTAGACATGCCAATTTTTACCATTCCATTTCCTATTGACGACATACGACCTACCAGGAATTACTGAAACGAAGCTAGTAACCAGGCTATGTAGAAACGTGAAATGGGTTCTGTGTTTAACACAAACTTCGGAAACATTTCATTCTGACATTCACAACAGTGCTGGTACCTACATTCGCTATATCAGGTCTCTTTTTGCATTCCTGTCCATGCAAGCGTACCTACAGGGAAAGAAGGGGCAAAAACAAAAGGCAAATACTCTACTTGAATTGCTGGTCTTTGGTGCTCCTAGTTTTAGCCAGGAATCTCTCAGCCAACTTCTCCAAATTCCTTGAGTAATCCATCTCAATCTCTGCCTTCTTGCGGAAGAAATCCTGCAAGTCCTGCAGTAACTGGACTCGAAGCTCACACTGCTGGTCAAGGCATTTCAGCTGCTCTACCAATTGGGCACGGATCTCTGTAACAAATAAAAGCACTAAAGATTAAACAAAATCCCATTACAGAAAACACCATAAAAATTCTCCAATAAAATATAGTTAAAAATATGCTCCCTCATTAGTAATATGTCAGCAAAGCTCCATTACGAATAACTGTATCTGCAGACAGAAAATGATTGTGATTACATCTCGGATGCACCGGTCGCAGGAAAGCCATCCAACAACCTGCAATCCGGTGCACAGACCTACAAGCGAAGCTTCACTGCTGAAGAGTGCATCAATTACAAGTGTCAAGTGCATTTCTGGCATCAAGAAGAAGTGGTCACTGCCTAAAAATGTACTGAATCTCAGTCTGGAAAAAGGACTGAATGCTGCAATACCCAACGTTAGCTTAGAAAATCACTTCAGGGAATTTCTATCAAATTCTTTTGCAGACTACTCTTGATGCAGAAACAAGACATTGCGCATACAGGGGCACTCCCCAAAGGCACCAATTCCAGATTACTCAGTTAGTTACTGAGTCTCCAGCTGTGCAGCTCTCATTATAAACCAAGCCATCGAAAGAGATAAAGACACCGCTTCGGAGAGCCAACACGATAGCACTTCCCATTAGGGAGTTATCTCCAGGAAGACTACTTCTCTCTTTAAAATATCCGCAAGTAACATACCTATGTCTAGAGGACCCATAAAGCACACAGATATAGGTGTTAATATTCTTATTATACATAATTATTACTGAAGATATCTATTTATATTAACACAATATTTTACAAACAGTTTTCAAACATTTTACAAGTATGAAAACTTCTCACATTAGCCCTTTAAGCCAGGGTGGTGTTCTCCTTATCTTACTGACTCTGAATTTGAGGGACAGAATAGGGAAATTACTTGCTCACGGTCAAACAGGGCAAGAAAACACTGAAGCAGCATGTCAGTCACTTAGTCTAAAAATGCAGAAATATTCAGTGATGCAGCTGGTAGAGGTTATTTGGCTTTTATACAGGCAATAAACTCAACATGAAAACAATAAAATATACACTTTCATCCAAAGGTCTTTGAGCACTCAAACTTTAGAGATGCCTGCTATTGCTTGACTGATACATCTCTGAAAACCCTTGGAAAGAGCAGCAACGTTGTTCCAAGCTGAACTCAGAAACAGCAATAAAGTAAGTAACATTCAGGTCTTCCGCATGCACAGCTTTGTTTGTATCTATGCATTGCAACTGCAGGCACCCACAACTTCATCACCACAACTGAAGACGGGTAAGTATCATTTTCCAAATGCAGTTTTGTAATCAACTACTTCATTGCTAATTCCTGAGATACATAATAAGAGAGGCCAGCTTGGCCTCCTCAATATGCTTGCTCCTCTGCCCAGAAAAAGCATACCATCTGGACCTCCGAGCACTTTACTCTTGCCATGCACTACGAGTATCAGTTGCCTCGAATTGTACTCACATGTGCAGGAACAAACAGTGTCAAGAGGTCCAGGATTTGCAATAAAGAAAGTATGCATCTTTATTTTAGGGACTCTAAAATCCAAAACGTGTGTATTTAAATATGGGTCTTAGTTAGGCTTCCCCCCAAAAAAACCCCAAAAATCTGCAATAATGTGGGGTTTTCAAGCTTGAAGATGACCTTGATTAGCACTTTAGTTTGGTAGTACCACTCCTCTGGGACTGCAGTACCCCAGGGCTTCTGCAGCCTTCATGGCAAGGAGAAAATACAGGCAACAAGGTCGTAACACAGAACGAAACAGAGTAGTCAAAACCGCGAGGTGTGGGCAAAGCTGGTCAAGTTTATTTTTTCCTCGGGACAGAATTTTAGAAAACAGCAAACTTCTGTCTCTTCATCAGGAAACGCAACTACAAGCAGATACACAGGCCCGAGTTGACCACATGCTACTTTATTCAAAACCACTTCAGCACGCCCGATTCTCCGGGCCCAGGGAAGCCCCCAGCCCACATCCCCCCCCGTCGGAAGGGTACGGGCTCACCCGGGCAGGGACCAGCATCGTCTGCTCCTCCTGCCAGGGCCGGCTCCAAGGGCACGGCAGAAACAAACCCTGGGGAGGCTCCCGGGAACCTCCACCCTACAGCCCTCGCACGGGAACAACCCTCGCTCCGCAGGGAAGGCGACATGGCGAGGCATGGGCAACACCGGGTAAAACCGGCGAACTGCATTTCTCGCAAGTTTGGGAGATTTCTTTGTTGCTTGCTCGGTTCCAGCTAGCTAAAGTACTTCAGGATTAGCAGGGGCCAGGAGGGGCACGGGGAAAGGACGAATACTTACGCACATTAGATCCGCTAGCACTTATTTAAAAATTTGCTGCTGATGCTCAACATACGCTATATACATCTTCTCCGTTCAGCTCGGTCCCCAGTTACAAAACTACCAACAGATTTGCAAAACTCCGCACAAGTGACAGGGTTAGCCATGTGCAATGCAAAGACGACAACCCCATTCTCCCTGCGGCTTTGTCATTAAGACTTTCATAAAGAAAAGGAGGTGAGGTAGCTAGACGGTAATGGCACCAAAACGCACAGTCACGTAGTTTTTCCTTGCTGCAATGAATCTGTCTGCCTAGTCCTTAACCCAACACTCATCTGCAGGTCTGACAGTTCAAGAAAGAACATCCTCCAAGGCAAGAAGTATTAGAAAGCTCTTCCTCCCTTTGTGTCTTCTCCTCTACCCTTTCCTCAACAAAAGGGATGGTCCCAGCATAGACACAACTATGACCTTTTCAGAAGTCATTGGGCAAAGACACTAATTTTAATAAGCTGTGGCTTACTTACTAGATCCATGACAAGGTACCACACAAAGAAAATACTTGAGCAGATCTAGCATTTTCTGCTAAACAGATAAAGAAAGAGGCACAGAATTCAAATGCAGCAAACACCTTCCTTGTATATGATGTATCTATTTCTGCATTTAGGGCTTGACCACCTGTACAGTGTTATTTTTCAGAAAAACTCAGCTACCTTATTAGCATGGATGAACAATAGGCACCACGTTTAAAAACAGGATGGGGGTAGGAATGGAAAACACCAGATGCAGCTCAGACAGGTCATGGTGTGGCCACCAACCCTTCTCTGTGCTACAATCGATGGATCTTTTACAAGGACAACACCTGGCAAACTCCGACAATTCTCCATCAGTCACGTTCTTGATTGAGACACTAGCTCCAGGAGAAAAAGTAGAAACACAAAGGACCACTTCCAAAAAACCAGTAGTTCTCAAAGACTAGAAGATCAGCAGTGCACATGTATTTTAATTATAAAATTGCAACAAAGCTCAAACTCTTGGTTCTCCAGGTGGGATACTTCATGCACACCTTTCCTGCTAAACAGCAGCAAGAAGTAGTAACCTTTTCCTTTAGAAAGAAAGGCGCTATCAGCACCTTTTCTTTATAAATAAACTCAGTGTTTTTTGAGGGGAACAGTGACAGCTGATCGGGCTACCCCCAGGGGAACAATAAGCCATTCTGCTCCAGCTTATCGACTCCGTGGCGCTGGGCTGGAGAAGGGCAACCTTGCTCATCTTTCAAAAACACACCATACAGTACTTTGCCACAAAATAAAATCAAGAATGCAGGAATTTCCTGAGGCTTACTGGGCTTTCTAGAGTATAAAGTGTCTGCTTGTTTTCCCATTGCTTACACAAGCAAAAGGGTTTTTTTTCGGACTTACCCCGAGAACATACCACGGCAGAGTCAGAGGCCGTGCGGGCTCTAACCCGCAGGTCACCGTATTACACAGGACCTTTTCACGTCTGCAGCCACAACAATCGCTTTAATTCTGAATTCACTGCTTTTGCATCTTTTAATTTACACCGGTTATTAGGTTAACAGCCACTTTAAACACTTTAAGCCTTCCATCTGCTTTCCTTTTCTCAAACCTGTAGACCTTAGCGATCCCACCCACTGCGATCATTCAAGACAAGGAACAGCCCCCTGAAGACCTGTGTTCCTGCTGCCAATGCTTCGAGTGCCTGAAGGTGAGCAAGCACGTTTAATTCAAGGTCAAGATGCCTTTAGTAGAATTAGGATTAAACACCAGGTATTCTTAGTCTCACACCAAGCCTTGCCCTGTATTGCAGAATCCTTTCTATCGTGTTTCAAGCTTACATGGCTGACAGCTACATAATTAAAACGTCCCTAGTAGCAACAGAAAAGTTTTCCATCCTTTTAAAATGAACTTCCATCACCAGATTAAAAAGTCACCTAGGTCACAGAAGGACGGAGTGCTGTACGATGCCAGACAGTTGCATAATTTTACTTTCCTCCTTCTGTAACTACCTTGTCAACATTCCCTGTAGCGCTCAGCAGGCATGTGTAGTTTTTAATGAATTCAAAGGGTAAGGAAGGATCCTCTACCTTCTGTATTTTAGTCACATTCGTCATTCTCAACATTTATAATCTGTTTGACTTTTTTTTTTCCTTTTTATAAACTTTGAAGCATACAGAGTATCAATAGGTACAAATGATACCGCATTACCATGAACGTAATTGTTCCTGAATAAAATGCTGGTATTTAAATGATAGTGCCTCTAGTAGCTCCATGGAAAGGTCAGCAGCAGTAGTTTCCATCATAGGCAAGTTAAGAGATGTGCTACATTTTCAGCTACCACCACAGCTGGTCATATCTTTAAAAAACCTGGATGATCTTCATGAATTGATTGTTCCTGATTGAAAAAACCCGCTTGTTTAAACTAGATGAGTGTCTAGGTCGCTAGTTACATGACAAATCCGAGATCTGAAAACAGTCCTACCCTGCAATCTTGGGAAGGATCCAGTAAACAAAATCAATAGTAGGTTATCCTTATATTTTAAAAACTGACTCTTTTTTTTTACTTGAGCAGATTACAAGAACTGTGGTGCAATTATGGACCTCTACTGAACAGTGGGGGCTTCTAGAACCACACCAAACAGGAGAGGGTTTCTGCAAAGCTCCTGGCAAGAATTTGCACTATCATAAAACAATTACGCGCAGAGCAGGTGGGTATATTCACTGACTGGAAC